ATGACTAAGTATCAGGAATACTGAGCACATTACATACATCATCTCACTGATCCTCACAATAAACCCATGAGCTAAGCATTATTAATGTCTCCATTTTAGAAACCTAGAAATAATCAATCCAACAAATGATTCAACATTCCTGTCCCTAAAGTCTATCTCTGGCAAAATTATGAGCAAATGAGGGCGGACAGAAAAGGAAAATAGTATTTCCTTAACACCTACGATATGCCAAGTTCACCTCATTCACTGCTCACCAAATCTACAAGGTAGGTAAGTACAAAATACAAAGCTAGAAAGTGACTGAAATTTAAATTTGAAACAAGTTTTAAACTTGTCCTACGGAGTCCAGTCTGAAGCTCAGGGTAGTGAATTATCAGGACACGTTTCATTTTATTTATTTATTTTTTTTTATTTTTTTTTTAATTTATTTATTATTTTTTTCTTTTGAGAAAGGTCTTGCTCTGTCACCCAGGCTGGAGTACAGTAATGCGATCTTGGCTCACTGCAACCTCCGCCTCCTGGGTTCAAGCAATTCTCCTGCCTCAGCCTCCCTAGCTGGTACTACAGGCACACACCACCACACCTGGCTAATTTTTTTTATTATTATTTTTAGAACAGATGGAGTTTCACCATGTTGGCCAGGTTGGTCTTGAACTCCTGACCTCAAGTGATCCGCCTGCCTCAGCCTCCCAAAGTGTTGGGATTACAGACATGCGCCATTGTGCCCAGCCAGGACACTTTTTAAATGTCCTCTAAGGTTAGTGTGAGGATACACCCAGCCTCCTATCATAGCAACTCTCATTTACAAACCAGCCCAAGGAGACACTGGGATTATACAATCTAATCCCGCAGACTTTATTCATTGGTGAAAACCCCTCAACCAAAACCCATAAACACTTCATATGCCAGGCTCTGTGTTGGGCTTAAGGGTTACAAAACTGGATCCATTCAGTCACAAAAATGGATCCATATCCTGGAAGGGTGTACTCTTACACATTAGCATAAAGCACATAAGCATATGACACCCACCCAATAACTATTAAGCACGACTATGTGCAAAGCACTGTGTCAAACTTCACAGAGCTTGCATTTTCACAGAGCAAACATAACCCACTTTAATCTACTGTTATCTCTAGCTTTTCAGATCATCTGTTAAGTTTGAAGATTAAGGATTCAGTAGAGTAAGTGTAGTTCCAGAGCTGCCAAGGAGAAAGTAGCCAACCAAAAAACTGCGTGTTTTCCTACAACTGGATTGTCCTCACATTTGCCCCTCCCACTATCACATGACCTCTGCTAAACACATGTTAGGCATCAAGTAAATTTTTGTTGAATGAATGGTTATACTGCTTGAAAGAAGAAATAAATACATAACATCAAATACAGAATTTTAAAAAGCATAGTAGTCCCCCTTATCTGCTGGGGACACATTCCAAGACTTCCGATAGATGCCTGAAACCAAGGACAGTACTGAACCCTATACGTACTAAGTTTTTTCCATACATAAAGTTTATGTATGATAGAGTTTAATTTTATCACCTAAATTAAATGATACATTTTAATTTATAAATTTATAAATTTAAAAATAAATAAAACAGTAAGAGATTAACAATAACTAACAGAACAATTATAATAATATACTGTAATAAAGTTAAGTGAATTTGGTCTCTTAAAATATCTTATTGTACTGTACTTACCTTTCTTCTTGAGGTGCTGATGAAAGAGTACAATGGCTTCATGATGACATGAAATGAAATAAATGATGTAGGCATTGTGATGTAAATGGAAAACTCCAGAAATAATTTCTAAGTTTTAAACTGCCTGCTGTTCTGAGTAGGATGACAAAATGTTTCACTATCCCACTATTTCCAGCCTGGATTGCTATAAATCACTTAGTAGCCATCTCAGTTATCACATCTACTGTTGTGGTATCATAATGCTTATCTTCAAATAATCCTTACCATACTTAATAAAGGCCCCAAAGAGCAAGAGTAGTGATGTAATATTTTCACACCATGGTTGACCAAGGGTAACTAAAACCCCAGAAAGCAAAACCTTGGATAAGGGGGGACTACTGTAATGACAGTCTTGTTGTTACCAAATGCTATGATTTGAGTGTCCCCACCAAAACTCATATTGGGACCTTAATTCTCAGTGTAGCAATGTTGGGAGGTGGAACCTTTAAGAAGTGGGGCCTAATGGGAGGCATCTGAGTCACGGGGGCTCCCTCTGCTCTTATAGGCAGCGTGCTGCCAATTCTTGTACAATTCTTGTCCGCGAGTGACCTCTCTCTCTCACGGGAGACCTCTCACATGAGACAGGATTAGTTTCTGAGAGTGAGCTGTTATGGAGTGATTGCAACTCTCATGTCCTACACCTTTGCATGTGCTGTCTTCACCCTTGACCTTCTGCCATGTTATGACACAGCACAGAAACCCTCAACAGAGGCAAGCAGATGTTGGCCCCATGCTCTTGGACTTTCCAGCCATCAGAATCATGAGCCAAATAAAACCTCTTTTCTTTATAAATTACCCAGCTCAGGTATTCTGTTATGGCAACACTAAGGAGACTAAAGCACCATGATTTCAGAAAATGAGACTGGCTGAGATCAATGATTAATGCATAAAGGGTAACAGTCACAGTACCGCTGTACTCCACTACCTCTCACCTCTCAAGTTTCTAGTGCTGTAGAAACTTCTACAGCACTAAGGAGAAGGCCCATTTGGTAGACCCAACTTGGATAACTTGGGATGATGGGAGTTAAGACTTTACCTTAATTACTACAGAGACTTATGCTTACATGCCCTCTGGTAGGCTGTACAGCAGTTAGGGAGTGAGTTCCCTCCTATAGTTGTGAGTACATGCATTGACATGGCTGTCCCTATGCTATGGCATGGAAAATATATATGAGCTCCTTCTTTGAGTAGGAAAAATATACATTATAGGTGTCTTCTATTTAATTAAAAAGAAACCATGAAATAAATCACTTGTAAATAAAGAATGCTTTCTTTATTCACATGCTGAGTCCTTTATGCTAGCAAGAAAAATAGAGAATATAGAATTTCTTTCTCATGGAGCTAAACAAAGAGTCTACTTGCTGATTAATGAAACTGAGATAAACGCATCACATATTATGTTTGACTATCTTATGTTCTCCATCATAAGGTACAAATCTCTTTTTTGTTTTCCTCATTTTCAATCCAAAGAGACAAGGATTTTTGCCAAATTGTTCTACTAATGGAGCCCATCTTAACCCATCTAAGATGTGAACATCTTTATTCTGGTAGACATCAAGGTTTGTGAAATAGATTTTATATATTACCAGCCATCATAGTACATTGTATAGGTGATGGTGACAGGACATAAATTGTACCTGTTATTAATCTCTTCAGATGCAAATTAACTTATATTGAACTTGTGATTTTGTTCTTTTCCAGTTTAAACCAAATTCTTTGTTTCATGAATAAAAAGAAAATTTAGTAAAATTTCCTGTTTTTTTTGTTATAGCTGCTTACAAGGTGAATAAAATAAGTGTTTTAGACAGTCTGCAAACAATATAGTCCTGTGCTTTTCCAATATTTTATCCGTTAAAATTCCTGAAGTTGATCATAAAGAATCTACAAGTAAGATAAGTTTGGGGCTGTACTACTACTTCTACTTTCAAAACATGTGGATAACTTTTTTTTTCAGTTTGTTTCAATTAATAATAGCAGCAGCAAGTAATTACCATTTATTGATACCCTGCTATGTTTAAGCACTGTGCTATATGATTTGCAAACATTCATTTAATGTTTATGGTAACCCTGTAAGGCAGGCATTATTTCTGTTCTACAGATGAGGGAACTGAGGCTCAGAGTGGCTACCTGCCACAGAGCATGTGATTGATTTTGTATCACCCCAACCACTGCTGCCTTGTAACTGAATTTCAGCCTCAACAGCAAACTCCTAAGTTTATCAGCAAACTCCTAAGTTGATAACTCCTTAGTTATCAAGCATTAATCAAACTATTAGTTACTATAAAAACTTGTCCTGAAATATTACAATTTAATAAAATTTGGGCAATACCAGATAACATACAAAGACAGAAAAATACTCAGGTGAGGTCATATAAAAGCCAATAATGGGCCGGGTTTGGTGGCTCACACCTGTAATCTCAGCAGCTTGGGAGGCTGAGGGAGGAGAACTGCATGAAGCCAGGAGTTCAACACCAGCCTGGGCAACATAGCAAGACTCTGTCTCTACAAAAATTTTAAAATTAGCTGACTGCAGTGGCGTGCACTGTAGTCCTAGCTACTCAGGAGGCTGAGATGGGAAGATCCCTTGAGCCCAGGAGTTTGAGGCTGCAGTCAGCTATGATGGTGCCATTGCACTACAGTCTGGTTGACAGTGTGAGAACTTATCTCAAAAAAAATTAATGAATAAGGGTTGGGTGCGGTGGCTCACACCTGCAATCCCAGCACTTTGGGAGGCCGAGACGGGTGGATCACGAGGTCAGGAGATCGAGACCATCCTGGCTAGCACGGTGAAACCCCGTCTCTACTAAAAAATACAAAAAACTAGCCGGGCGAGGTGGCGGGCGCCTGTAGTCCCAGCTACTCGGGAGGCTGAGGCAGGAGAATGGCGTAAACCCGGGAGGCGGAGCTTGCAGTGAGCTGAGATCCGGCCACCGCACTCCAGCCTGGGCGGCAGAGTGAGACTCCGTCTCAAAAAAAAAATACCAAAAAAAAAAAAAATACAAAAAATTAGCCAGGCGTGGTGGTGGGCGCCTGTAGTCCCAGCTACTCGGGAGGCTGAGGCAGGAGAATGGCATGAACCCGGGAGGTGGAGCTTGCAGTGAGCCAAGATCGCGCCACTGCACTGCAGCCGGGGCGACAGAGTGAGACTCCGTCTCAAAAAAAAAAAATTAATGAATAAGAAAAAATAAAAATAAAAGGCCAATAATGCCTAATGTTTTCCCCCTTTTCTGAAAGTAGAAAATTTCCCCCAAATTCTTCTTCAATACCTTTATTTGTTAGTTTTTGCTTTATTTTTGTAATCAAATAACAATACAAAAACACACAAATACCCTGCCAGTATCAGGTGCACCACAATCATGAAAGATAAAATAATTCCCATGCAATTAAATGACCATCAGCTACAGACCTTTGCAGCAGCTACAACTGACCCATTCTGGCTTCACATTCATAATATGCATCTCTGCATATTATTCATAAAATATATTCTGAATCCAAAAAATTAGATGAAATCATAGGCAACTCAGGAGTCCTAACCTTCCTACTTGTCTACCTTTTGCACTAGTAGGAAATAAAATGGGAGGAAGGGAATAGGATATATCTAATAATTTCCAAAGCATCATTCCCATAAGAATGAGTAGGGAAGATGGGGCCTCAGTTATCAGATCCATATACCAATTATGTCAAGAGGCAAAAGAAAACTGTCAGTACTGAAGCTAAGAAGTCTCACTACTCCTTAATGGCAAACTGTCCTTGGACACTGGCTCCGAATTAGTGAGTTAATTATTAGAAAAAGAACCAAGTTATTGAGCTGACCAAGAATTACATAATGGGATAACTTGGGGAAAAGGCTCTTCATTAAAAATTGTAAGACAGAATTCAGGAATCCTGCTTTCTATTCTGGCTTTGGTCAAGACAGTGAGGTCATATCACTAGATAACTCAGTCGGCAGCACATGAATTAGAACATGCAATCATTAAAATATCCAATCTCTAAACCCAGTGTCTTCAATACTGTATTCCAGTTCTACTCTATGTTACAATACCTTTTGGAGAGCAAACCCTCCAGAACACATTTCTACAGTCTTTATAGGAAATATTTATGGGTCTGTCAAGAATAATGATCTTGAATGAAAGAACCTTCTATAATATCCAATACAGCAGCTGCTGGTCACATAGAGCTACTGAACACTTAGAAAGTGGCTAGTGTGACTGAGGAACTGGATTTAAAATTTCAATTAATCTTAATACAAATAGCTACATATGGCTAGAGGCTATGGTATTGGACAGTATAGTTCTAGATGCTACAATAGTTTTATTTTTAGTGACTAAAAATGCATTTGAAAAAAAAAATCTTTTCCTTCTTAAGCCCCAACAAAATAGCCAGGAAATCACATTATTTGCTCAAAAATACCCTTTCTCTGGGTAAACCCCTGAGGCTGGTAATGATGTATCTCTACCTAGTAAACGAAGATAAAATAAAGTAATTCAATAGCAATTCTAGCTTCAGGTTCTCACGGTTCCTTTGCTTACTCTCAGGATTACTCTGTACATTTCTTTTGAAGCCATTACTATCTTACCTTAAATTTTTTAAAATCCTCCTTTCTTCATCCTTGGTGGATGAATCTCTCACTGGACAGATCCAATAACCTGGTGATTGGGGTCTTCCCATCCTTTAAACTGGGAGGTTGACTTTTTCCAAATGTTTTAACAAACACATCAAAGAAACTTTATAGCACATCAATCACAGAATACCTACATTGTCGTGGTCCAACAAGGAAGAAAAAACCATCACCAGGCTTTGGGACTCAGGAAGATGAATTTGGTACTGAAAATGAAGGGATGAGGGGCACTTCCCCTGAACAGCTTTTCCAAGTCCATTGACGAGGAAAATCCCCAACGTCAGGAGACTCAAAAGGCTTTTCTACATGAATTTTCCGATGCTGACTGAGGTAGGCACTTCTGCTGAAGCATTTCTCACAGCTGGTACATTTGTAAGGTTTTTCCCCTATGTGGGTCCTCCGGTGCCTGATAAGGTTAAAGCTCTGACTGAAGCATTCACCACAATCAGGACATTTATAAGGTTTCTCTCCTGTATGTGTCCTTTGGTGAATCACCAGGGTGGAACTCTGACTGAAAGTTTTCCAGCACTCAGAACATCTGTAAGGCTTTTCTCCTGTATGTGTTCTCTGATGTCTAATGAGATGGGAGCTAAGGCCAAAACTCTTTCCACATTCACAACATCTATATGGTTTTTCTCCTAACTGCATTCTGCATTCTTCTATAACATTGCAGTTCTGACTCAAACTTTCTTCATATTCAGAACTTTCATAGGATTTCTCTCCTGTGTGCATTTTCTGGTGTGTAATAAGGTTTGAACTACGACTAAAATTCTTCCCACATTCTGGACATTGATAAGGCTTTTCTCCTGTATGTATTCGCTGATGTTTTATTAGAGTAGAATTACAACCAAAGCTTTTTCCACACTCAAGACATTTGTAGGGCTTCTCACCTGTGTGTGTCCGCTGGTGGCGAATGAGGCTGGAACTCTGACTAAAACTCTTCCCACAATCAGGGCACTTATAAGGTTTTTCTCCAGTGTGAGTCCTCTGATGTTCTATTAGGACATAGCTATGACTGAAGCCTTTTCCACAGACAGAACATTCATATGGTTTTTCACCTGTATGTGATCTGTGATGCTGAATAAGGTGAGAGCTGCTGCTGAATCTCTTCCCACACTCGGGACATTTATAGGGTTTCTCTCCCGTGTGAGTTCTCTCATGGATAATAAGATGGGAGGTATTGCTGAAGCTTTTCCCACATTCACCACACTGGTAGGGCTTCTCTCCTGTGTGCATTCTTAGATGCTGAATCAGGTGAGAACTGTTACAAAAGCATTTTGCACACTCAGAGCATTTATAAGGCTTTTCTCCTGAGTGGGTCCTCTGGTGAGTACGCAAATGAGAACTATTACTGAAGCTTTTCCAACATTCGGAACATTTGTAGGGTCTGTCTACAAAGGATGAATTCTGCTGCACACAGGCATTGGTATGTTCTCCTGGGTCCCATTCCTGGTGACTGGGTTTTTCCTCCTCTTCAGCTATAAAATTTCCCCAATTCTCTGACTTGCCATCACTCTCATAGGAATCATGACACCAAATCTCATCTTGAACCCATGTCAGTGGCATTTCTTTTGCATCTTCATGCTTATAATGTTGTGGTCTATGTCTTTTAGACCATTCTGAAGGTTTCTCTTTAAGTTTATCTGCCTTAGGATTATTGTGGTGAACAGTTTCCAAATTATTCATACTTTCATCTCCTGCAAGAATAAACAAATATTCTAACCATATTCTGCACCTCTGCCAGAGACGCAAATTCTAAACTGCAGTGGAAGAGAGGAAATAACACTGTAAAACCTCATAAATATTTTATATAAAAAAGTTTTTAAAGACAGTTTCACTTCTTTTCCTCTGTTTACCAGAAGCAGGTGGATTTTTTTTGTACTTAGCAACTACATTACTGCATTATTTGAACCATTATTGGCAAAGGGAACATCAATCTAAAAAGAAATGCATTAAATTTTGTTCTAGAAGACTTAAGAGAAAAAACAGGATTGATGTGAATAGGAGTGAAATTGAACAGGATACCATCTCAAGTAAAAACTAGACAATAGCTTTGCTAAAATCTGAGCAAATGCTATAGAAATAACAATAGCCATTATTTATTAAGAACAGTAGCTTTGGATGGGGTATTTCACTAATTCTAAAATATATGTGAAATTGGTATTATTCATTTTCTTAAAGATGAGAACAATGAGGCCGAAATAATTAACACAGCTTATAAGTGACAGAACAAGGAATTAAATTAAGGTTTGTCTCATTCTAGTGTCCTGTTCTTTCTACATCAAATTTCCTAAGGATTCAGACCATCGTCTTGATCCCTCACCTGTGAAGGGGCTTTTCAAACTCTCCCTCTCCATAAAGCTGTTAGAATCTGAAACCAACAGTTTTTTTTCTTGCTCCATCACAATGATCACAGCCAAGTTAGAGATCAGAAACCCTGTGGAAGAAAATAAATTATGTTTGGAGGTATATGTTAAAGTTTATGCTTCCTCCTTCCTTCCCAACCATTCCAACACAACAATAGGAGGCACAGAATGTTCCATGAACCATACTGAAAATAAGAAAAACAACTCTTAGCAGCCCTTTTAGAAAATCTTATCTCAGATCCAAGTGTTTAGAATTAAGGGTTAACCCTGAAATAACAATGCAAAAAAGTAAATCTTCGGGGGGGCACGCCCAAGATGGCTGAATAGGAACAGCTCCAGCCTCCAGCTCCCAACATGAGCGACATAGAAGATTGGTGATTTCTGCATTTTCAACTGAGGTACCGGGTTCATCTCACTGGGGAGTGCCGGACAGTTGGCGCTGGTCCGCGGGTGCAGCCCGACCAGCGAGAGCTAAAGCAGGGTGAGGCATCGCCTCACCTGGGAAGCGCAAGGGGGAAGGGAATTCCTTTTCCTAGCCAAAGGAAATTGAGACACACAACACCTGGAAAATCAGGTAACTCCCACCCTAATATTGTGCTTTACCAAGGGTCTTAGCAAACGGCACACCAGGAGATTATATCCCACACCTGGCCCAGAGGGTCCCACACCCAGAGAGCCTCCCTCATTGCTAGCACAGCAGTCTGAGATCTAACTGCAAGGCAGCAGCGAGGCTGGGGAAGGGGCGGCTGCCATTGCTGAGGCTTAAGTAGGTAAACAAAGCCACCGGGAAGCTCTAATTGGGTGGAACCCACAGCAGCTCAAGGAGGCTGGCCTGCCTCTGTAGCCTCCTCCTCTGGGGACAGGGCATAGCTAAACAAAAAGCAGCAGAAACCTCGGCAGAGGTAAATGCCCCTGTCTGACAGCTTTGAAGAGAGCAGTGGATCTGCCAGCATGGAGGTTGAGATCTGAGAATGGACAGACTGCCTGCTCAAGTGGGTCCCTGACCCCTGAGTAGCCTAACTGGGAGACATCCCCCACTAGGTGCAGACCAACAGCTCACACCTCACATGGCGGGGTACACCCCTGAGACGAAGCTTCCAGAGCAAGAATCAGATAGCAGCACTTGCTGTTCAGCAATATTCTATCTTCAGCCTCCGCTGCTGATATCCAGGCAAACAGGGTCTGGAGTGGACCTCAAGCAAACTCCAACAGACCTACAGCTGAGGGTCCTGACTGTTAGAAGGAAAACTAACAAACAGAAAGGACACCCACACCAAAACCCCATCAGTACGTCACCATCATCAAAGACCAAAGGCAGAGAAAAACCACAAAGATGGGGAAAAAGCAGTGCAGGAAAGCTGGAAATTCAAAAAATCAGAGCGCATCTCCCCCTCCAAAGGAACACAGCGAATCACCAGCAATGGAACAAAGCTGGACAGAGAATGACTTTGACGAGCTGAGATAAGAAGGCTTCATTCGATCAAACTTCTCAGAGCTAAAGGAGGAACTAGGTAACCAGCGCAAAGAAACTAAAACCTTGAAAAAAGAATGGATGAATGGATAACTAGAATAATCAATGCAGAGAAGACCTTAAAAGAACTGATAGAGATGAAAACCATAACACGAGAACTACGTGACAAATGCACAAGCTTCAGTAACCGACTCGATCAACTGGAAGAAAGAGTATCAGCGATTGAAGATCAAATGAATGAAGTGAAGCGAGAAGAGAAGTGTAGAGAAAAGAGAGTAAAAAGAAATGAACAAAGCCTCCAAGAAACATGGGATTATGTGAAAAGACCAAATCTACGTCTGACTGGTATGCCTGAAAGTGACAGGGAAAATGGAACCAAGTTGGAAAACACTCTGTAGGATATCATCCAGGAGAACTTCCCCAACCTAGTAAGGCAAGCTAACATTCAAATTCAGGAAAGACAGAGAATGCCACAAAGATACTCCTCGAGAAGAGCAACTCCAAGACACATAATTGTCAGATTCACCGAAGTTGAAATGAAGGAAGAAATGTTAAGGGCAGCCAGAGAGAAAGGTCGGGTTACCCACAAAGGGAAGCCCATCAGACTAACAGCAGATCTCTCGGGAGAAACTCTACCCTACAAAAACAAGAAATTGGGAAAAAAGATTCTCCTATTTAATAAATGGTGCTGGGAAAACTGCTAGTCATATGTAGAAAGCTGAAACTGGATCCCTTCCTTACACCTTATAGACAAAAATTAATTCAAGATGGATTAAAAACTTAAATGTTAGACCTAAAACCATAAAAAATCCTAGAACAAAACCTAGGCAAATACCATTTAGGACATAGGCATGGGCAAGCACTCCCATGACTAAAAACACCAAAAGCAACAGCAACAAAAGTCAAAATACCACAATGGGAATCTATTTAAACTAAAGAGCTTCTGCACGCCAAAGAGAAACTACCATCAGAGTGAAGAGGCAACCTACAGGATGGGAGAAAATTTTTGCAATCTACTCATCTGACAAAGGGCTAATATCCCAGAACCTACAAAGAACTCAATCAAATTTACAAGAAAAAAACAAGCAACCCATCCAAAAGGTGGGCAAAGGATATGAACAGCACACTTCTCAAAGAAAGACATTCATACAGCCAACAGACACATGAAAAAATGCTCATCATCACTCGCCATCAGAGAAATGCAAATCAAAACCACAATGAGATACCATCTCACACCATTAGAATGGCAATCATTAAAAATCAGGAAACAACAGGTGCTGGAAGAGGATGTGAGAAATAAGGAACACTTTTACACTGTTGGTGGGACTGTAAACTAGTTCAACCATTGTGGAAAACAGTGTGGCAATTCCCTCAAGGATCTAAGAACTAGAGCATACCATTTGACCCAGCCATCCCATACTGGGATATACCCAAAGATTGATAAGTCATGCTGCTATAAAGGCACATGCACATGTATGTTTATTGCAGTACTATTTCACAATGCAAAGACTTGGAATCAACCCAAATGTCCATCAGTGACAGATTGGATTAAGAAAATGTGGCACATATACACCATGGAATACTATGCAGCCATAAAAAGGATGAGTTCATGTCCTTTGTAGGGACACGGATGCAGCGGAAACTATCATTCTCAGCAAACTATCGCAAGAACAGAAAACCAACACACCGCATGTTCTCACTCATAGGTGGGAATGAACAATGAAGATCACTTAGACACAGGAAAGGGGATCATCACATACCCGGTCCTATTGTGGAGGGGGGGAGGGATAGCATTAAGAGATATACCTAAGTAAATGACGAGTTAAATGGGTGCAGCACACCAACATGGCACATGTATACATATGTAACCCTGCACGTTGTGCACATGTACCCTAGAACTTATATAATAAAAAAAAAAAAGTAATC